GCTCATAGCAACTTTATTCATAGGAACTGCCAGTTGGAAACAACCCAGCATCCTCCAAGAAGTGAATGATCAGCAGGTTGGTGGTGGCGCAGAGGGTGGCAGAGGCAGGCGATCTCTGTGAGTTCAAGGCCAACCTGGGCTACAGAGCTGGTTCCAGGATAGTTAGGACTGTTACACAGAGAAACCCTGTCTCGAAAAGAAGAGGAGGAGGAGGGGGAGGAGGAGGGGGAGGAGGAGGAGGAGGAGGAGGGGGAGGAGGAGGGGAAGGAGGAGGGGGAGGAGGAGGAGGAGGGGGAGGAGGAGGAGGAAGAGGAGGAGGAGGAGGAGGAGGGGAAGGAGGAGGGGGAGGAGGAGGAGGAGGGGAGGAGGAGGAGGGGGAGGAGGAGGAAGAGGAGGGGGAGGAGGAGGAGGGGGAGGAGGAGGAGGGGAGGAGGAGGAGGAGGGGAAGGAGGAGGGGGAGGAGGAGGAGGAAGAGGAGGAGGGGGAGGAGGAGGAAGAGGAGGGGGGGAGGAGGAGGAAGAGGAGGGGAAGGAGGAGGAGGGGAGGAGGAGGAGGGGAAGGAGGAGGGGGAGGAGGAGGAGGAGGGGGAGGAGGAGGAGGAAGAGGAGGAGGAGGAGGAGGGGGAGGAGGAGGGGGAGGAGGAGGGGGAGGAGGAGGAGGGGAGGAGGGGGAGGAGGAGGAAGAGGAGGGGGAGGAGGAGGAGGGGAGGAGGAGGAGGAGGGGAAGGAGGAGGGGGATGAGGAGGAGGAGGGGGAGGAGGAGGAGGAAGAGGAGGAGGAGGAGGGGGAGGAGGAGGGGGAGGAGGAGGGGGAGGAGGAGGAGGGGAGGAGGAGGAGGGGGAGGGGGAGGAGGAGGAGGAGGGGGAGGAGGAGGAGAAGGAGGAGGAGGAGGAGGGGGAGGAGGAGGAGGAGGAAGAGGAGGGGGAGGAGGAGGAGGAGGAGGAGGGGGAGGAGGGGGGAAGGAGGAGGAGGAGGAGGGGGAGGAGGAGGAGGAGGAGAAAGTGGTGAATGGGTAGACAAATAGTGTTCCATTCATCCATGGAACCACTACTCCGCAACCAGAAGGAACAAACTGTTGATGCTTTGCAGCCACTTGAAATGACTGGAAATCCATCCTAAATGCTGGGGGGCATCCCCAAAGTTTACCTACTTCCTCCCAACTCCATTTAATACCTGAAATTCCTTTTTTAAAGATTTTATTATTATTTGGAGTGTTTGCTGTTAATCCTAGCACTCAGGAGGCAGAGGGAGGCAGATCTCAGAATTTGAGGCCAGTTTGGTCTACAGAGTGAGTTCCAGGACAGCCAGGGCTACACAAAGACACCCAGTCTCAAAAAAACAAAAAATTTCTTTTATGTGTATGTGTGTGCATGCAGCATGTGCCCACAGAAGCCAAAAGATCACATCAGACCCCCTGAAACTGGACTAATAGACAGTTGTGTGCTGCTCAAGGAAGGTGCTGGGAATCAGACTCCAGTCCTCTGCATGAGCAGCAAGTGCTTTCAAGTGCCGAGCCATCTCTTCAGCCCCCTCCCTTCTTTGAATATTCCATTTACTTAGTGTGCTTGTGCACATATATGTATCCGTGTGTGTGTGTGTGTGTGTGTGTGTCTACACACAGGTGTCATGGTACACAGGTGAAGGCCAGATAACAACTCAGGGTAGTTGATTCACTCCTTCTATCGTGTGGGTTCGGGGCATCAAACTCAGGCTGTCAGGCAAGCACCTCTACCGGAGGAACCGTCCTGCCATCCCCTAATATGTTGATAATGCTAAAATGAGAGAATTCCAGAAATACAGAGCGGGCTGTGCTGGCTAGGGCTTAAGGAAAGGGCAAAGCTTGGAAAGCAGGTGGAGACGGCGAGGAGTGGGGAAGGCAGGGCTGTTGCGCTGAGGAAAGAGCTTTGGATGTTGGCTGCATTAGATCAGTGTCTTACAACATTCTGCACGATGTCCCTGGGAGAAGAAACTGCATAAAGGCTACTCTAGCTGTTTCTGACACTTGTATGGAGATTTGTAATTATCTCAAAATTAAAAGCTAAAGCATTTAAAAGACACATGGGAGCTGAGCATATTGTGTCCTGGGAGATCATCTGCCTACTAGCACACGTGAGGCCCTGGCTTCAAGCTCGTGTGTGTGTGTGTGTGTGTGTGTGTGTGTGTGTGTGTGTTATACAAAATGTAGCTCCTAATTTTGCATTGGTTTTAACAGGCATAAATCTCATCAAAATGTTAGAACCTGCCAGGCACTCAGGAAGCAGAGGAAGGCAGATCTCTGTGAGTTTAAGTCCGGTCTGGTCTGCAAAGAGAGTTCCAGGACAGCCAAGGCTGTTAACACAGAGAAACCCTGTCTCAAAAAAATACACAAACAGCCGGGCGGTGGTGGCACACACCTTTAATCCTAGCACTCGGGAGGCAGAGGCAGGCAGATCTCTGTTAGTTCGAGGCCAGCCTGGTCTACAAGAGCTAGTTCCAGGACAGGAACCAAAAACTACGGAGAAACCCTGTCTTGAAAAATCCCCCCCCAAAAAAAATACACAAACAAAAAAGTTGAAACTCTGCTCTTCAAACCACCATGAAGAAAATGGGCACAGGGCACATAACTGTGATTCAGCAACTCAGGAGGTCTGGGATATAGGAATTCAAAGGGAGTTTGGCCAATGTAGTGAGACCCTGTCTTTAAATTTTTAATATCTGGGGTGGGAGAGCTGGGGAAGTGGTTTAGTGGTTAAGAGCCCTGGCTGCCCTTCCAGAGGACCTGGGTTCAATTCCTAACACCCACATGGCAGCTTACAACTGTCTATAACTCCAGTTCCAGGGGATCTGACACCCTCACACAGATATGCATGCAGGCAAAATACTAATGCATGTAAAATAAGAATAAATAAGTATTTTTTTTTAAAAAAAAGGGATTCATACTGCTATTGCAGAGGACCTGAATTGAGTTCCTAGCATCCACACCCACAGGTTCATAGCAGCCTGCCCATAACTCCAATTCTGACATTGTCCCTACACCCATGAAAACATACCCCGAACTACCACACACATATAAACTTTAAAAAATATTACAAAGAGGAACAGGGGTTGGTAGTGTAGCTCAGATGGAACAGTTTGCCCAGCATGCATGAAACCCTGAGAGTTTGTATCCAGTACTGCATAAATGGGGTGTGGTGATGCATGCCTATAATCCCAGCACTCAGGGGGTGGAAGCAGGGGATTCACAAGTTCAAGGTCACCCTGGGCTACTGTGTGAGTTCCACAGCAGCCTAGACTAGAAATACATAAGTACTGATGTACATAAAAAAGGAAAATGAAAAAAATCAATCCAAAGAGTAGAGAGAACTGTATCCTGAGAGAGTGTGTGTGCGTCTATACAATATATATATATATATATATATATATATATATCTTATATACATATATATCTTTTACAATTCAATAAATAGAATACAGTTAAAACCACAGTGAGATATGACTTCAGAACTACCCGCATGGCTAAAATTAAAAAGACGTACAGAGCCAAGCGTTGCCACATACGTGGGCAACAGAACCACCGCACATTTCCATGCGGGGATAGAACACGGCACCAAGCTTTTGGAAGACTGCCTGGCAGTCACATCTAGAAACCTACCCAAGCCAATGAAAGCCTATGCACACAGGAGAACTTGCACACAACGTCTTTCCCTAACAACCTCCGTCTGGAAACAACCCAAATGTCCATCAGCGGAGGAAGGGATAAAATGGCACCGCCATGCCGTGGAGTAAAAAGCAGTGAACTATGGATGCGCATAAAGACTCGGACCTCAAATACAGCACACTGAGCCCAAGGAGGTGCACATACAACCTCCACAGTGTGATCCCCTTCACAGCACACTCAGGAGCAGGTGAAACTAATATAAAATGACAGGAGACCATCCTGTGGTTGCCTGGGGCTGGGCGAGGGGAAGAGGAAGAGGAGGTAACTGCAAAGGAATAGCAGGGGTGGTGCTTTGGGGGTGATGGAAATCTCACGGACCTTGATTGTGGTGATGGGTATAAAGATTTCTCTAAATCATCCAAACTCAGGCTGGGGATGTAGTTCATTTGATAGAGCCTAGTATGCAATGCCCTGGGTTCTATTTGCAGTCCCACTAAATGAATATATAAACTGCACCTGATGGTGCCTTTCATATTAGGTAAATTGTAACTCAATTTAAAACAAACAAACAAAAAACTGTTATTCTTTTAATCAGTATCTTATGTGGCTCAGACTGGCTTGGACCTCCTGATCCTTCTACCTCCACCTCCCCAATAGTAGAGTTACAGGTATGTGCTACCACACCGTGTTTAAGCAGCCTTACACAAGCACTCTACCTTCTGAGCTACACTCCCAGCCCAGAAAGAGTGGGTTTTAAAAGATAGCACCGCTCCTGGTATTTTGTCTTTGTTTCAACAGACACACACAAAAAAATATTTCAGTATTTCTTTGATTGTCTGAACAGTCTCCTGCAGTCCAGGCTGGCCTCGAATTCCTGATTCTCCCAGGTGCTGACCTGTATCACTGTGGCGGGGCAATGCCTACGTTTTTAAATGCTCACTGTAAATTCTTGTATAACTCTTCCTCCCAGGTGAATAAGGGCAGTTTGAAATCAGCTGTGGTCCAAGGAAGACCACCCACTTTGCCAACTATTGTGTTCTCTGGTTGGCCTCCCTGCCAACCTCGGGTGGGAAGCTGGAGGAAGGGCAAGTCTGGAGCTGGACAAACCCATGCAGGGGAGGCTGCAGGGGAAAGAGGCTGAAGGAAGGCTGCGGGTATGGAGGGGCTGCAATGGCGGAAGGTGAGATGTGTCAGGGAGAGTGGCTGTAAGCTAGAGGCTGGGGGCGGGTTGCAGGAGGAGGCTTCAGGTAGCAGGTAACATCAGGCTGGTGTGGAAGGGCTGGAGGCATGAGGATGGTTGCATGCATGAGCAGTGCAAAGGCATGGGTGGGCGCTGCACTAGGGCTCACGCTGGGATCCCCAGCTCACTGGGAGCTGAACACCGGCCTGCGCTGCAGGCGCAGCACTCCGTAGGTATTGAGTCCGGGCACGTCGAAACCTGGTGCCAGCCCGTGGCGGTCCAACGGATAGAAACGCACCAGCTGCCCGTGCTGCGCCTCCAGAGACAGCCAGGCGTCTGCGAGAGGCAGCGTGCACGGGAACTCACGTGCCACGTGCAGCTGGAAGATGCGGCCGCGCACGTGGCGCAGGGCGAGCGATCGGAAGGCGGCGGGCACGAGCGCCTCCACGCGCGGCCCAAACTGGCGCAAGCGCAGCTCGCCACGCGGCCCCGCAGCACGCACCTCGTAGAAGGTGCGGTTCGCGAAGGTGAAGAAGCCAGCAAATGGGCGCGCGCTGGGCGGGGGCGCAGGGGCGCGCTCAGCATCGCGCAAAGCGTGCTCCAGAGCAGGTAGTAGCACGTCCAGGGCGTCAGCCACCAGGTCACGCGTGGGTGGGCGCGGCCCCGCCAGCAACAACACAAATCCTAAGCGCAGCGGTGGCACGAGAGCCAGGCTGGCGGCGTAGCCGTCCAAGTCGCCGTCCTTGCGTGCCACTCGGTATCCGCGCTGCTCGTGGAACTCCCAGGGTGTGCCAGTTTCTCGAGCGAAGTAGCCGTGGGCACAGGTGCGCAGCGGTGACAGCAGCGTGGCCAGGCTGTCTGGCCGCAGCAGCCGTCGGGGCCCTGCGCCCAGTAGCGCAACCGCCAGCCTGGCCAGATCTGCAGCCGTCGAGTACATCTGGCCCGATGGCCTGTACCAGCCCAGATCGTAGAGCGGCGCAGACCGGCCGCTGCCATAGAAGCCGGCAGCCAGGCGAGCTCGCACAGCTCCAGTCAGTGTAAAGCTGGTGTCGCTCATCCCCAGCGGTTCCAGCACCTGTTCAGATACCCAGCGTTCATAGTTGCCCTGTGCCGTGTGAGCAGCCAGCACATGGGCCAGAAGCGAGAAGGCCAGCGTGCTGTAGTGGCATCTGGAGGGAGAGAAAGGGGCATCGGGATGGGGTCCTGGATATGATCCCCAGGACAGTGTGGTGGCACCAGGAGGCAAAGAACATATGACCTACCGTATTTGGAGAAGCAGAGGGAAATCTGGCCCAGCGTGTCAGAGGAGTGCCAGCAGCCTCTGTCTGACGTATGTGTGTTGTCTGTCCTCCACCCCCAACCCCAAGCTCTCAAAACTACACTTTTATCTGCACACCATCAGCCATCGCGGCGAAATCTGTGTTTGTGTCGTTTATGTCTTCACCGTGTCTCTCTCATCAGTGTAAACTGTAGAAAGGAGCCTTGGTCAAAGGTTTGCTGCTCTATTCAGCGCTCAGCAGATTCTGGGTGGAGGAGTTGCCTTAATTGCTTTTTGTGTCTTGTTTGTTTGTTTTTAGATAATCTCATTGTGCAGCCCAAGCTGTGTTGGGATGACAAATGTGCCCAACCGTGCCACCCCAGAGCAGATGCTTAATAAACATTTCAGTTGATGAGGGGCCCGGAGACTGGAACCGACCTGGGTTTTGGGCCCAGTTCTTCCAGGCCTTGCTGTGCCTGCCCGTGGGGGCCACAGTAGGATGGACTCTATTTCTGGCTGTAGGGTGGACTCTATTCAGTGATCCCCAGAACCCGGCTTACTCTAACCATCTGAGAGAAACACTTCCTCAAGTGTATGTAGCTGGACTTCAGGGTACACTCCTCACCTGCTTCCGGGGTCAGCCACCAGCATGTCATCCCTGAGCAGGCTCAGAGCCTCCTGGGTGCTGCCCCTCCACAACAGCGAAGTGCCCCGCAGCCTTCGGGGAAGCCCTAGGGAAGAGCAGTGGTCAGGCCTGCAGGACCTGTGCTTTGCCGGGGAAGCCCCATCTCTAGACAGCCACCAAATCACCTTTGCTCACAAGCCTCCCCTACCTTCCTCCCACCCCAGCAGGCCATGATTTCCCCTTCCTGGAAGCAAACTGTTTTTATTTCTTTCTTCTCTCCACTCTCCCAGGTGCTGGGATTGCAGGCAGGTACCACCAAGACCAGGCCTTCCAAAGGCATTTAATACAACCTGAAATATTTAATATTTAGGGCTGGCAGGATGGCTTATCTGGTAAAAGCGCCTGCCTACAAGCCTGACTCTTTGAGTTCAATCCCCAGGACCTCTGTAGCAGTCCTAAGGCAACAAACTCCTGTAAATTGTCCTCTGACATCCACACAAGTGCCATGGTGTGTACGTTACCATACCACACACACGAACAAAAAAATGTAAAAAGAAATTAATATTTATATAATACATAGCATGGTTTATAATCATACATATTACACATGTCTCATACATAAACATGTTTTTATAATTGGTATGTTTGTATAATCTTTACGTAATTTTTATCTTTATTTCTGTAGCAACACAATACATGAACTTTTCTCCTCCTTATTTCATATCCGTAAACAAAGAATGTCATTTAGAGCAGTGGTTCTCAGCCTGTGGGTCGACACCATCAGAAAACACGTATTTCCGATGGTCTTAGGAACTGAGACACTATTCAGTAGCAAAATTATAGTTATGAAGCAGCAATGAAAACAATTTTAGGGTTGGGGGTCAGGGTCACAGCATTAAGAAGGTTGAGAACCACTGGTTTAGAGTTATATGGTATTTGATTGCATAGCCATTCCCCTAGTGAGGAACATATAGGTCATTTCTTCTTGTTTTGGTTTTTGTGTTTGGAGAGGGTCTCATGAGAGCCCAGGGTGACCTTGAACCCCTGGTTCTCCTGCCCCCATCTTAGAAGTGCTGGGCTACAGGTATTTTCCCACTGGCTCCCCTTATTACTGTAAAACACTTCAGTGAATAACTGTGAGCATTTGTATGCTACAAAGGGTGACCACATCTGCAGCAGAATTTTCTCGAAGTGGGATTTCTCAGTCCAAGGGAATGTGTGCTCTTTTTTTCCCATTGTTGCTGGGCCTCCACCCAGGGCTTTTCACATGCCAAGTGCACACTGTACTGTTGACCCCCAGCCTATTAACGGGTGATGGACTGGGGTGGTGGCAGCACTCAGGAGCTGGAGGCAGGAGGGTCAGGAGTTCAAGGTCCTCTTCGGCTACCTAGAGAGTGTGAGGAAAGCCTGGGCTACTTGAGACACTAACTCAAAAAGACAGAGAACTGTTGTGATCATATTTGAATTTGCCTTCATACAGGTGTGAGCCATTTGTTTGTTTATGGGGGGGGTTAGTTAGGGTTTCTTTTTTTTTTTTTTACTTTTTATTTATTTATTTTTTTTTTATTTTTTGCTTTATTTAATTTTATTTTATGTGCATTGGTGTGAAGGTGTCAGATCCCCTTCAACTGGATCTTCAGACAGTTGTGAGCTGCCATGTGGGTGCTGGGAATTGAACCCGGGTCCTCTGGAAGAGCAGCCAGTGCTCTTAACCACTGAGCCATATCTCCAGCCCCTAGTTAGGGTTTCTGTTGCTGTGATGAAACACCATGACCAAAGCAACTTGGGGAGGAAAGGGTTTATTTGACTTACCTATCACAATTCGAGGGAAGCCAAGGCAGGAACTAAAATAGGGCAGGAACCCGGAGGCAAGAACTGCTGCAGAGGCCATGGCGGATGCTGCTTACTGGCTTACTCCCTCTGGCTTGCTCAGCTCTTATAGAACCCAGGACCACCCGCCTAGGAGTGACACCCCCCACAATGGGCTGGGCCCTCCCACATCAGTCACTATGAAGAAAATGCCCTGCACGCTTGTCTACGACCAGATCTTATGGCGGTGTTGTCTTAATCAAGGTTCACTTCTCTCGGATGACTTTAGCTTGTGTCAAGTTGACATAAAACTAGCCAGCACAGGGGGGTTAAATTTAAGTCAGTTTAAATTCCCCCCACTGTTGTGGACAAGGACACCGTCTCCATGGTTTCCCCGATCAGGGCACCCACCATTTCAATCGTGCCAGTCTGACGCGAACAGTGTGTCTCAGTGTGGTTTTAAGTTGCGTGTGTGTTTCTGTGAACAAGGGTTGGCATCTTTAAATATTCCACAGCCTTTTCTGTGCCATGTCAATTCTTTCCCTGTCCTCCACCTCTGTCCCCCGTGGGCTGTGGCTTTCCACATGTCCTTTATGTGTATGTTCAGGGAGTCTAGGTCCTCACTGTAGAGCTCCCTACCAGTTTCAATTTGCTGCCTTGCCATTGGCACGATACACAGATCCTGGCTCATTTGTGTGTGAGCTTTTCTCTGCCTGATCTGTATTCCCAGGTTCGGGCCAGGGACGGAGCTAACTGGTGCAATGCTTGCTTAGCACGTGTGAAGCCCTGAGTTCCTTCCCCCAATGACATACACCCAAAATGGAGTGGCACATGCCTGTAATCTTAGCACTCAGGAGGTAGAGAAAGAAGGACCAGAAGTTCAGGGTCACCCTGAGCTACACAGTGAGTTTGGAACCAGCCTGGGCTACAAGAGACCCTGTCTCAAATAAAGTAAGTCCCAGTGCTGGAGAGATGACAGCTAAAGCCGCTCTTCCCAAAGACCCAAGTTCAATTCTTGGCACTCACCTGTAGCTCCAGCTGGGGAGGGTCTGGTGCATACCTCTGTGGACACCCACACACATATAGCATATACTCATGCACACACAAACACACATTTCTAAAATCAAGTTTAAAAAAAAAAACTATCCCTGGATTACCTCAGCTCTTCCTCCCATGGCCACCACCTATGGCCATTCAGGAACCAGAGCAGAGTCCTAATGGATGGAAATCTGTGTCCTGTGCCTGCCCCCCAGGCCCTCGGATGTGGATTGGCTCAGCTGGGCAGTTCTGAGGCTCACCTGACAGCTGACTGGCCATCCTCCGGAGAGTGACAGAAGAAGGCTTTGGGAGGGAGCCCATCTCTTCAAATTCCCCCGCGGGGTCCTGTGGTTCAGGATCTTGAGTCTTGCCCAGCGGGTTGTTGATGGAGAAAGTGCTGGCATAGCGCTCCAGAGGGTCGTCCAGGGAGGCCACGATGCCCTCCTCCCACAGCCGATACAGCATAAGCACGGGGAAGATCTTGGAGATGCTGGCAATCCTATATTGGGGGGACAGGAGTACAGAGGGCAACCTGTCAACCTCACGGCCTACTCCCCACCCTATGCCCAGCCTCCAGCTTCTCATAGTCAAGATTCCACTCTGGTCTGCATCTCCAGCTGAATCCCCAGCCTCTGTAGAAAGCCTCGAGATGAGTTGAATGTACCAGCAGCTGTGATAGAATGGACCGTTCAGCGCCTGCCCCATGCTAGGCCTTTTATCAAGCCCCATTTGTACCGGGGGTCCAACCTGGATTTGATGAATCCTATCTCTCACTGGCTATGTGGCCTTGGGCAAGCTACTAGACCTTTCTGAGAGTTTTACTGTTGATTTCATGTGGTAAAATGGGGGGTGAGGTATGTGTGTGCACACATACGCATGCATGTGAGTGTGCGTGTGTGTGAGTGTGCGAGTATGCACACTCACAGGGCACTCAGCATGGCCGATAGGTGACGGCCATAGTAAGCAAGACAAACAGAACTCTGGGCCCTGTGTGTAGCACCACAAAGGTGCGGTGTGAGGCTAAATCCCATCAGGCCCCTGCGGTCCCCACAGCATCCCTGGGATCAAATGTGCCCATTGTTATAGCTCTGAGGACTCTGCAGACAGCCCATGAAAGGAGAAGCGCTGGGCATGCTGCCAAGTGTCCCCAGCTGCTTCCAACTGGGCCAGTGCCACTGACTCACAGGCCTGGGAGCTGGCTATCGCTCCTGGGTGGCACACTGAGAGGCCAGGAGATGGACTCCTTTCCTTATTTGGCCTGTGCCTGTGGTCCCCGTGGTAGGACACTGGGCACTTGAACTTACTGGCTTTCTCTGGACCACTGTCTCCTATAGAGTTATCAGGACTGAGCCACAGGCCCTAGCAGCCACAGTTCTCCTCAATGTCCCTGACTCCTATATCTGCTTGGCTTGCCATCCTCCTCATCCCCTCTGAGACCCTGGAGGTCACCCCACTAACCGGTATATGGTATACTCATTAGGAGTTCCAGAATTTGGATCTGAGCCATTCTTCTTCCCAAAGTTGCCAGTCCAGAGCACAGTGTCATTGTGGACGACAAGGGCAGACATGGCAGCAAGGCCAGGAGCCAACATCGCCTTGCGCAGAATCCCATCCACCTGGCGGAAGAATAGGAGCTCAAAAGGTGGGTGCAGTGACAGCTGAGGCCCCTGCCTCAGCACACCCACCTATCCCCACAGCTGTACCTCCCCCCACAATACCCTCAGAGGCTCCAGACCTCACAACCCTGGTACCATGCCCGGTGAGGGCTAACTCTCTCATCAGCTTCCCTCCCACCGATTTTAGACATAGGGCTCCCTAAAGGATTTTGGGATGTGTGGGGTGTGTGTGTGTGGTTTGCGTGAGTCTGTATTTCTGTTCACAAGAGGGGTGTTCATGTGTGCACATGACATGGAAGCTGGAAAATGACACTGGATGTCTAAAACACCCTTCACCTTTATGTACCGGATCAGGGTCTCTCTCTTGAACCCAGAACTCACCAGTTCAGCTAGTCTAGATGGCCATCTTGCTCTAAGGGAGTCCTCTCTCCACCCAAGCACTGGGATTACAGACAGGCCACATGTACCTAGCCTTTACACCCATGTGGAGGGTCTGAACTCTGGTCCTTGTATTTGCACAAACCACTGAGCCATCTTTCCAACACCTCTACTTAATCAGTTACCAGACACCTTGCCCCATGGCCTTACCTGCCCCATGCTAAGTTCTGTCTCCCTAGACACATGCCCTAAGTCAGTCTTGGGGGTCTCAGTTCACCAATGTCGTCGGGGATTCCCTAGACATGTATATAAAGGGGTCGCACAGCCCTAATTGACACCCCAGTGCTAGGCAGGAGGAGGCTGCTTTGTCATTGAGTCCTGTGGCCCTGTGTGACATATGTTATATTGGTAAATTGACATGTGCTGTTTGAGCTTCTGTGGAAGTGGGGTCATGTTTGTGTCAGAGTGTCTTCCGAGACCTTTTGTCTGGAGATGGCTGCCTTCCTTTGTTCTGTAACAGGGAGTAAGAATAGCAATTCAGTCCAGGAATAAAAGCAATACATCATTGACACCTCTAGAAAAGTCACTATTATCTTTGAGTATAAAACTTATGTGGCGGGGGGGCTGGAGAGATGGCTCAGAGGTTAAGAGCACTGCCTGCTCTTCCAAAGGTCCTGAGTTCAATTCCCAGCAACCACATGGTGGCTCATAACCATCTGTAATGAGGTCTGGTGCCCTCTTCTGGCCTGCAGATATACACACAGACAGAATATTGTGTACATAATAAATAAATAAATATAAAAAAAAAACCTTATGTGGCGGGCTGGAGAGATGGCTCAGAGGATAAGAGCACTGGCTGCTCTTCCAGAGGTCCTGAGTTCAATTCCCAGCAACCACATGGTGGCTCACAACCATCTGTACTGAGATCTGGCACCCTCCTCTGGCGTGCAGGCAGAATGTTGTATACATAATAAATAGATAAATCTTAAAAAAAAAAACTGAAAACAAACAACCAGCTTTAAAAAAAAAAAACTTATGTGGCCAGGCCGTGGTAGTTTATGGCAGACTTTAATCCCAGCACTTGGGAGGCAGAGGCAGGCAGATCTCTGTGAGTTCAAGGCCAGCCTGGGCTACAGAGCGAGTTCCAAGACAGGCTCCAAAGCTACACAGAGAAACTCTGTCTCAAACAAACAAAAATAACCAAAAAAAAAAAAAACCTTCTGTGAACTTGCTACCCTTTTCCTTCTACTGGTTGTCAGAGAGTGCACAGCTGCCCAGATGTTTGACCCTGATCCCTTTGTGTCTCTTCTCCTAAGATGAGTGGCCCACACAGTAGAAACTGACTGTCACCAAGGAGAGCCATCCTGGAGTGGCACAAGTTGTGCCCTGGTGCGTGTACCTGTGTATGTGTGTGCACCCATGTGTGCACTTGACCATGTTACAGCGGCCTCTGTGGCATGGACTCCGTTATTCTCCCGTTTCATCTTTCCCTCCCTCTCTATGTGCCCTGTGTTCACTCCACTGCCCCTGGGCCTTTTTATATGTTGGCCCCACTGTTTGGAGTACACTCCTACGTCCTTCAACTTTTTTACCATACATACATCATTGGGCATCCCCTACCTGTTCAAATCTCCGCTTTGGTCCTGCAAAACCTCACATCTCAGCTCCACAGTCCCCAAAACTTTCCTAATTATGGTAGTTTGAATGTAATTGACCTCCATAGATTCATAGGGAGTGGAGTTCATAGGAGGTGTGGCTTTGTTGCAATGGGTATGGCCTTGTTGGAGGAAGTATGTTACTGTGAAGGTGGGCTTTGAGGTCTCATATGCTCAAGCCACATGCAATGTCCCAGACCACTTCCTGGTGCCTGGAAGATCAAGATGTATCTCCTGCACTCTCAGCTCCTCCAGTACCACGTCTGCCTGCATGCCGACATGTACAGTCATAATGATAATGGTCGATACCTCTGAAACTGTAAGCTATCCAACTGAATGTTTTCCTTTACAAGAGTTGCTGTGGTTATGGGTACAGCAATAGAAACCCTAAGAAACTAATTTTCATTCTTTTTTATTCTCCTGAGTCTATGTAGACTGGGCTTTCCTGGAATTCGATCTATAGACCAAGCTGTTCTTGAATCAGAGATCTGACTGCTTCTGCCTCCAGATTGCTGGGACTAAAGGCACGGGCCACTCCCACCCCAGGCTCCTAATCCTCACTCTTGCCCCTGAGTCAGAAATGTGTGTTATCTTAACTGCTTCCTTCACCTAACAGACTGACTAGGAGTTAGTCATTTCCCCACCCCCCTCTGGCTTAGAACTCTTGGTGTAGCCCAGGCTGGCCTCCAACTTGCAATGATCCTCCTGCCTCTGCCTCCTAAGCACTAAAATTCTAGGCACAGAACAGGCACTCAAATTTGTGTTGAAAACTGGCTGTGGTAGCTCACACCTTTATTCTCAGCACTCAGGAGGCAGGGGCAGGTGGATACTTGGGAGCTAAAGGCCAGCTTGATCAACAAAGCTAAGTTCCAGGACAACCAGCACTGTTATGCAGAGAAAACTAACAAATATAAGCATGTTGAGTGAATGAATGAATGAATGAATGCCACAGCACAGAGAGCAATTCCTCCTCTGCCAAGCTTTACCATACTACCTGTAACTTCCTGGGCTGTCACTAACCTTCTCCAATGCCTCCTTCAGTACTGGGAGGGGGTGAGCCAGAGGCACAAGCTCAGGGTGATGCGGACACATCTTCACAGGGGCTGGGGTCACCTCTGGCTTTAAGGAACCTAGAGGACATATCAGGAGGTGAATACAGAAGAGGTCAGGTCAAGGGCAAAGGGACATCTTAGAAGACAGGAAGGCTGCAGCCAAGGTCAGAGCTATGCCTTGGGAGACATCCTCCCACCAGCGGGAGCCTTCCCAGAAAATGTTCAGTCATGGGCCAGCCAAGGGACCAAGGACCAAGGCATAGTGTCATAGATTGAGTCCCTCCAGGTCTCAGCTAATAGTCCCCACTCTCCCTTCTTCCTGACAGGCTAAGCCCCATCCATCCATCTATCCATCCATCCATCCATCCATCCATCCATCTATACTTCACTAGTTTTGTATGTTTGAGTAACATGAGCTTGAAACCCCAGTGGGGCTTCAGGTCTGAAGCATCGGGGACAGCTTATTCTGTTCCCAGAAACGAATGCAGGCACTGGTCATGGGCTGAGTCTCTTCTGTCCTTGTCTAGGGAGTGGCCATCATCACATGGACAAATCTGGGAAATTATCCCCGAGAGCACCAGATCCTAGGGAGGTTCCAATCCCAAGTGGCTTGCATTCTTCCTTGAAGAGAGCAGATTAGACCAGCAGTAGAACTGTCAACCAGCTCCCAGAACCATGAGCAATAATCAGCTGGTGGTGTTGGTGTGTTTGTTTATTCCCCTGTGGTCTTGCACACGGTAGGCAGGCAAGTGCTCGACACTAAGCTACATCCCTAGCCCCTGGGGTGGTTTATTCCTTAGACAGATGATGAAGTAGATAGTGCAGGCTTGGTCATTGGAGTCTTGGACAGAGCCTTAGCTTTGTCAGCTTGGCTCTGGGTGGGGTTTGGCATCTGTAGCCATACACACAGATGGCACCTAGGGAGCCTCAAAATACATTATGGAGTCAACAAATCTGGTTGGGGCCTTAAAGTGCCTACATTTGGGTAGGGTTAGGGGGTTACCACAGCATGAGTGTAGAGGTCAGAGGATAACCTGTAGGAATTTCCTCTTCTTCCACCATGTTGGTTCCAGGGATCAAGTTCAGGTCATTAGGCTTGGCGTCAAGTACCTTTATCCAAGGAGCCATCTGGTCTACCCAGACTCTGAAAAGTTTGCAGTGGGTTGGCACTGACTTTGCACCCACTGGTTCTACTCACACAGCTCAGGTCACACTTCAAATGTCTTGAAGTTTCCCCACTACGAATTCATTTTGTTGACTTATAGTAACACCTGGCTTTTAAGGCTTAGTAGTTTGAGAATAGTAGTCCCGAATGCTTAACCAGCTGTGGCCTGTTTGCTTGAGCAACAACAAAGTCCCTTGAAAAGGAATTTAAAAAAAAAAAAAAGAAAAGAAAAAAGAAAAGGAATTTTAAAAAAGAAAAGAAAAAAAAGGAAAAAAAAGAAGAAGAAAAAGGAATTTACCCCAGAAAGGACTGGGGTCAGGGGTGGAGATACTGAGGAGATGGTAAGAGGGGTTGAGTCTGCTGAAGGCTCTTGGGGCCCTAGGAGACTCAGGCACCTTGCTGAGCCCTTATTTTGGTAATATGAGTGGCAGGACTGGGAGAAGCTGCTCCCTGATACAGCAGAGACTTGGGGTGCTGGATGCTATGGTAACCAGAGGGTGGAGTCCATCTATGATTTGCCCCTGTGGAGTCCTAGAAGAAATGAGGAGGTCTTTGAAAGGGGTAAGGGCCAGGCCAGCTCACAGAGCAAGAGAAGCACCATTAAAACTTTAATTTTTTTAAAAGATCTATTTATTTATTATATAAAGTGTTATGCCTGCATGTATGCCTGCAGGCCAGAAGAGGGCACCAGGTCTCACTATAGATAATTGTGATCTATCATGTGGTTGCTGGGAATTGAACTCAGGACCTCTGGAAGAGCAGCCAGAGCTCTTAACCACTGTGTCATCCATCTCTCCAGCCCTTCAACTTTGATTTTTAACATTAAAATTTTAAGTTTGTATGTGCACACAAGGCACACACACAGGAATACATGTGCATGTCGTGCGTGTGCATGCGGAGGCCAAAGAAACAAGTCTACATAGTCAATTCTCGCCTCCAACCTTCACGTGGGTTCTGGGGATTGAACTCAAGCCATCAGGCTTACTTGGCAAGTGCCTTTCTTTACCCACTGAGCCATTTCACCAACCTCTGCTTGAGCATCTCGGGAACCCTGAGTTGACCCCCATGCTGGATGACTCTGAAACCTTGGGCAATAGGGTTCTCACCTTGTTTATAAGAACTTGACCAAGTGCAGAGTGCCCCGTGACCAGAGATAAGCAGTGTGACTTGGAGCAAAGAGGCCTCTGTTCCTGAGCCTAAATCTTAACTGTCCCCCTTCACCCTCACGTCTTTGACTGCTCCAGACCCAACAGGGACCCATGCCCTGGGGCGGGAGCATGGGGCTTCTTCACTCACCAGTCTGCAGCTTGGGGAGGTGGTACTGCCACAGGAAGCAGCCAGTCATGGCCACTGAGAACAGGAAGAGGAAGCCGATGAGGGCCCACGAAAGCCATTTCTTTTTCCCTTTTAGGAGACGAGGCTGGTGGCAGGCCTAGAGAAGCAAAGACACAGGTCATGGGCTCTAGGGTCTGCAGGGAGAGGAAGGTACCTTCATTGCAATGCTACCCATGAAGCCGAGGGTCTCCCCAGGGTAAATGCCTCAGCAACTCTCCACACCTGTGACCCTAGGAGTTCAAATAGAAGTCCCTAAGTGTAAAACAATGGCGACCTCCCCACCTTTCCCACTGCCAGCCTCCCTAATGGGAAAGAACCCTCCACGCCAGGGCACCGGTCCACTTTTTCTTCTTTAGCCTTCGGTGTACTGGTTACTCAGTACATGTCAGAGGTGTGCACAGCACAGGCCTTGCCACACCCCACTTCCGGGGCACCTGCACCTCCAGGTTCCTGATCTCGAACCTAGGATAGAGCCCTCAGCGGGCATGCCTGAAGCTCCCAGCATGTGGGTACTGCTCAGTGTAGTGGATGGTTCTAGAAGGCTTTGTAACATCCTACCACTGTACCACTCTTCTGAAACAGGGAGAAAAGCCTTTGTGGTGAACAGAATGAACCTAGGACACCCCTTCTCCTGTGCGTGACCCCCCAAGCTCACTTGGGTGGGATCATTTCTTCGGTCTGTCATTGGCGCCTTTTCAGGGGTGAATAGATGTTTGAATCTCCCCAGGAAATTACACAACAAGAGTAAATCCATTCTGCCCAGTTCTCAGCCCTTGCATCTGACAAGATGACTTGCATCTGGCATGGTCTCTTCCTCGTCCGTGTCCTAGCAACACCTTTTTCCTGAGCCGCCCCTAGGCACCAGGCACCGTGCTGGGTACCTGGAGTGAGGCAGGGAGCCAGCCTCAGGGATCTCCACCCTCACGGAACTGCTACTCAGACAGTGCCTGCTGCCTGGGACTCTTGTGGGCGCCAGCCTGGCACTAAAGGTGTAAGTCACCGCTGCCCCAGCCGCGTCTTTATTTTTATATCTGGAAATCCCAGTGGGCTTCAGAATTATTTTTTACCTCTAGAACTTGGGGTCCACACAGAAGCCGTTCTTTACTGAGGATTCCTCTGTGTGTCTACCTGTACATGTAGAGGTCAGGAGCCAGAATCAGGCGTCTTCTCTTATTTCGCTCTACCTTGTTTTTTTAAGCAGGGTTTCTCCATGGGACATGAGGCTCAGTGATTAGGCAAGACTGGCTGGCAAGAGAACTCCAAAGATCAACGTATCTCTGCCTCCTCAACACTGGGAGTGAAGGAGCACACCACCGTGCCCTGGATTTTTTTTACGCCGTACTGGGGAATTGAACTTGGGTCCTCATGCTTACACTTTCCTGACTCAGCTGTCTCCCAATCTACTTACAAATTTTCACAGGCCTGGATCAACCCAAATGTCTTTCAGTGATGAATGAGAAAACAAATTATGGTATCCATGCGATGGGATGTTACACAACCATGTAAAGAGTAGAGTATTTGTTTTGTTTTGTTTTTTGTTTTTTCGAGACAGGGTTTCTCTGTAGTTTTGGTGCCTGTCCTGGAACTAGCTCTTGTAGACCAGGCTGGCCTCAAACTCGCAGAGATCCACCTGCCTCTGTCTCCTGAGTGCTAGGATTAAAGGCGTGTGCCACCACCGCCAGGCTGATAGTAGAGTATTGATGTATACAGTACTGTGAATGAATCTCAAAGGCACGGGGTTAAGCAGGGTAAGCCTTGCTCAAAGAGTGGCAGACTGCGCACCACTTGCCTAACACCCTGGGAAGGGCAGCAAACAGAACCTGACTTCAGTTCTGTGCCTTCCAGATTTGGACAAATGACTTCACCTCTCGGAGTCTGACCACCGCCCCTCCCCTGGAGAGCTCAGGCGATAGAAGCCCCTAGAAGGCTGTGCAGGAAGCATGGGCCAGTGAACGAGCCATATGACAACAAGAGTTAGTGCAGCCCTCACAGCTGCTGTGCTTGTTCCACAGAGAAGCAGGCAAGGGCAGAGGCTCTGGTGAGGGGTGCAGGTGAACCAGCCAGGGTGGGAAGGAGGGTGGAGTCACTGAGCAGGTGGTTGGGGAGGAACCAGGATGCTGACCAAGATGATGCATGATTTCTGGTTTGAACCTCACCCGAGTCTTCATCCTCTCCAAGGCATGAAAGATTCCAGATCCTTGAGGATTCAGGCCTGCAGTCCAGGAGAACCTGTGGTCAGAGATGAGAGGAGCAAATGCAAAAGGAGGTGGGAGCAGTAGGGAGATGAGGGCTGGAGAGGTGGCTCAGGGGTTAAGATCACGGGCTGCTACTCCAGAGAACCTGGGTTCAATTCCCTGCATCCAGGCTGTAAGCACAGTTCCAGGGCACCAGGCATGCACAAGATACAAACACACATGTAGGCAAAACACTCATACACATGTAAAAAAAATAATAATAAAAAGGTTCTGGGAGAAGAGAGGACAGAGAATAACTAGATAAAAAGATAAGATTTGGATGTAGGGGAAAGAGGACCCTTCCCAAGCTCAGAAGCCCTGTCCAGGCCAACTCACATTGCCCGATTGCCCAGAACTATCCTGATCTTTACACTGGAAGACCCACTTTCCCCCAAACCCTTCTATCTCAGACAAACCTGAGCAGATGGGCACTGTATGTACCCCAACTCTCCCAACAGACCCACTTATTTCCAGGTCCCCTCCCCAGCCTGTCCCACAATGACCTGCCAGGCCCCCGAGTCTCACGTCTTACTCACTTCTGAAAGGATCCAATAGGCCCCACAATTCAGGCCTTTCACAGGGTTCCGAGAGATGGGAGAGTCCTCCTGGGTTCTCTGCCTGGGCTTTACACAAATGCCCAGCGGTGACAGATGTGGTCCTCATTTCTCTGGTGCTAATCCCTCCCTGCTCTCTGCCTAGAGGATTAACTCCCAGAAGCAGGGAAGCTGGGCAGCTGTGTCAGAGTGCTGGATGCTCCATGTGACCTCTGGAGCTATAGATGGGGGGATGGGGGCAGTGTGGGCCCAAAGGAACGAACTCTCTCTCCAGGCATCTCTGTGGGCCCAGAGTAGAAAAGAGGTGACAAAGAACGGCCGCCAGGATCTGACCCAGAGGCCTCTAAGACCACTTTGAAACCTCAAGCTAGTTCACCAGTCACTTCTGAGGCACGCAGGAGCACCCTGGTGACCTGGGAGTGGCACTCTTTTGATTTTTTTTTTTTTTGTAAATGAGGACAATAACAACCACATCTAATTAAGCAGTGGGGGGGGGGGTTACTTGTAAAGCAAGAAGCCTGGGACCTGGCCCCAGGAAGGGCTCTGCAAAGGCTGGCTCCCATGAGTTGGCTTTGGTGTCAAACCCTCAACCTGACCCTAAGGCTGACTTTGGATTTTTCTTAGTGGACTTTCTGGAATGTCAGAGGACAATTTGCAAGAACTGGTTTTCTCTTTCCACTGTGTGGGTCCCAGGAATTGAATTCAGGTCATCGTCTGTGTCTTTGACCTGCCCTGCAGTTACGCAAAGCAGAATATTTTGTCACACTTCCCATCCAAAGAAGCTGATATTCAGAGAGGTGAAATTCCCAGGAAGTGCCAGGGCTAAGACTGGAGCACAGGAGCCCCGCTGGGAATGCCTTCCTTGCCCCACATCTGACCGACTAGGAGGTCCTCAGGACAAGGATAGCATCTCAGAGCTAGGGCTGATAATCTGAGTCAGTTAACTCACTGCAGGAGCTTGCAAGCCTCCCCTTCGGGATACCTACCAGTCTTCCGTGGTGCTCCTCCTGGATACTTAATTTGGCCCAGCTCCTGACGCAGCTGTTTCTCACCTGCAAGGCCAGGGTTATTCACAATATAGCCAGAAGAGAATCCACACCATGTCATGCAGCAACATAACCACTAGGTGGCAGCATATGTACACGGGTAAAATCTGGTTCCTAGCTTGTGCCCCTTTTCACTAGAGACTTCAGGCTGAAGAAACATGAAACAAGAAAAATCACACACACACACACACACACACACCAGGAAGGGAGGAATTATGCATCCTCTTTCTGCATGAGATATCTCGTATTATACTAGCTGTCTCCCCCTTTAACATGTTTTCTATTTAATTGAGTTTGTGTAACTATCCACATATACCGCTATACCGCTTTGTGCACAGAAGCGTAGTGCCCTGTGGAGGTCAGGAAAGGATGTCATATTCCCTGGAGATGAAGTTACAGGTAGCTGTTAGCTGTCTGACATGGGTTCTGAAAACCAAACTCCAGTCCTCTGTGAAAGCAGCAAGTGCTTTTTTTTATCTTTGTTTTGAAAATTTTTTTTTGTTTTTTTTTTTTGTGTGTGTGTGTTTGTTTTTTTGTTTTTCGAGACAGGGTTTCTCTGTGGTTTTGGAGCCTGTCCTGGAACTATCTCTTGTAGACCAGGCTGGTCTCGAACTCACAGAGATCTGCCTGCCTCTGCCTCCCGAGTGCTGGGATTAAAGGCATGCGCCACCACCGCCCGGCTTGTTTTGAAAATTTTTTAATAACTTTATTCTATGTACATTGGTGTGAGGGTGTCAGATCCCCAGAAACTAGGGTTACAGACAGTTGTGGGCTGCCGTGTGGGTACTGGGAATTGAACCCAGGCCCTCTAGAAGAACAGTCAGTGCTCTTAACTGCTAAGCCATCTCTCTAGCCTCCAGCTGTTGCTTGATCTTTGGGGAAACAAGCTCCTTTGACTGCATAGTGAAGGCTTACCCATTGCAGGACCTCTGTGCAGAGGTGATATATTTTGTGCTTTAACAAATAAAGCTTGCCTAAAGATCAGAGTATGGAGCTGGCCACACTAGTTAGTCACAGAGGTCAAGCAGAGGTGGCACACTTTAATCTCGGCACTCAGGTCACAGAGGCAGACAGATTTCTGTGAGTTCAAGGCCTCCCTGGGCTACACAGCCAAGCAGTGGTAACCCGCACCTTTAATCCTAGCACTAGGGAGGTGGAGACAGGAAGTGATATGGCTGGGCGGCGAGAGAGAGGAACATAAGGGAGGAAAAGACAGGAGCTCAGGATTCAGTCTGAGGTTTCCTAACAAGATGGCCCCTTCGGTCTGAGGATTCAGTAGAGGTAAGAACTAGTGGCTGGCCGCTCTGCTTCTCTGATCTTTCAGCTTTTACCCTGATATCTGACTCCTGGATTTTATTATTAAAACCCATTAGAAGCCGGGCGGTGGTGGCGCACGCCTTTAATCCCAGCACTCGGGAGGCAGAGGCAGGCGGATCTCTGTGAGTTTGAGGCCAACCTGGTCTACAAAGGGAGTTCTAGGACAGGCTCCAAAGCTACAGAGAAACCCTGTCTCAAAAAAAAAAAAAAAAAAAAAAAAGTTAGAATTTAGTTCAAACCTCAGCTGTGCTCCTTAGTAATGGTGTGACTTTGGTCAGCTCTTCTGTCCCTTCTTGGACCTCACCTGTACACGGGTGATTGAAGACACTACCCTAGAGATGTGGGCGCGAACACTGAGTAACACAGTGGTCACAGGGAGAGCACGCAGCCGCCGCATAGCAAGAGAGCCCAACAAAGCCGCTGTAACTGCCATTCCCTTGTGGGCCTCTTCTCTCGGCGGGGAGATAACTGCTCAACTCAGCCCCACAGCTGTCTTTTAGTTTTATTTTCTATAAACTTTATCATTTTTTTAAAATATTTATTTATTATGTATACAATATTCTGTCTGTGTGTATGTCTGCAGGCCAGAAGAGGGCACCAGACCTCATTACAGATGGTTGTGAGCCACCATGTGGTTGCTGGGAATTGAACTCAGGACCTTTGGAAGAACAGCCAATGCTCTAAACCTCTGAGCCATCTCCCCAGCCCCAACTCTGTCTTTTTTTTTTTTTTTTTTTTTTTTTTTGGTTTTTTCGAGACAGGGTTTCTCTGTGGCTTTGGAGCCTGTCCTGGAACTAGCTCTGTAGACCAGGCTGGCCTCGAACTCACAGAGATCCATCTGCCTCTGCCTCCCAAGTGCTGGATTAAAGGCGTGCGCCACCACCGCCCGGCTGTCATTTTTTTAAAGTTTAAAAATTTTACACCTAGCCAAGTGGCAGTGGCAGATCTCTACGAGTTCAAGGCCAGTCGCCTCTACAGAGTGAGTTCTAGGACAGGTCTAAAAAAAGCTACACAGAGAAACCCTGTCTCAAAAAAAAAAAATTGCATCTATTTATTTTGGGTGGGGTACCTGCAGTCATGCACACCACACGGAGGTCAGAGGGCAACCTGTTGGCGTGGGTTTCCCTCCTCTTAGCATATGGATTCTAGCGATCAGACTCAAGTCTTGAGGTCTGGTGGAGGCTGAGACAGGAGAACCAAAAGCTTAAAGCCTGCCAAAGGTTATCAAACAAGTGCCAGGCCTGTCTCAAAAAGTATAGGGTTGGGGAGATGGCGCGGTGGGCAAAGTGCTTGAGCACACAGGCTGGGGTGGGAGGGGATTGGAGCTGGATGCAACAGTGCAGACCCATAATCCCAGCACTGGGAGGCAGACAGGGGCGTCCTGGGGATGACAACTTGCAGGGTGTATCTGTTTTGCAGGGCTGTGGACAGAAACCCCAGGCCTCACACCAGGCAAGTGCTGTGCCATCCAGATACGTTCCTAGACCACTCATGTACTTGTTATATACCCACACGTATTCCCAGTTTTCCCTATCAGATTGAGAACTCTCATGACCCTTTTTTTTTTCCTTTTCTCAAATGTTGGGATGGAACCCAGGGATTCACTCACTCTGGGCAAGAGTTCCTCCACCATTCAACTTCATCTCCAGAGTCTATAGGTCACCTCTTTGTTTGATTGTTTGTTTTTCAAGACAGGGTTTCTCTGTTTAGCCTGTCCTGGAACTTGCTGGAGTGCCACCACTGCCAGGATATCGGTCACCTTTTAATAGGCTTCAAGCTTCCAAATCGTGAGCTGCTGGGGAAAGCTACAGTGGTACTTTCTCATCAGGACCACCAGCCCACAAATAATGACATGGAGACTGTAGTGGCATTTCATTTTTATTTTGATAAATAAAGCTTGCATGAAGATCAGGCAGTAAAACAGCCCCACTGGTCAGCCTTGCAGACCAGGCAGTGGTAACACACACCTTTAATCCCAACAGCCACACTAGTCACCATAGAAACTGTGTGGTGCGTGCCTTTAATCCCAGCCCTGGAGAGGAGTATAAAATGGCAGGAAATGGCTCTCTGACGCAGTCTCATTCTGAGATTCCTGGAGGGAGGATTGCCATTTTCGGACTGAGGTCAAGGCACCAGTTGGCTGGCTTCTTTGCTTTTCAGATCTTCAGGTTGAACCCCAATTTCAGTCTCTGGGTTTTTTGTTTTGTTTTTTTTTTGAAATTTATTTATTTATTATGTATACAATATTCTGTCTGTGTGTAAGCCTGAAGGCCAGAAGAGGACAAGAAAATTGCATTTCAGATGGTTGCGAGCCACCATGTGGTTGCTGGGAATTGAACTCAGGACCTTTGGAAGAACAGGCAGTGCTCTTAACCACTGAGCCATCTCTCCAGCCCCCAGTCTCTGAGTTTTTAATCAATCATGTTTTATTTGGCACCCAACTTTTGGGGCATGGATTTATGAAAAACAGTTGTTTGCCAGAGGCTTTTTAGCCACCGGCCCAGGCCAGAGCTGGACCCAAACCTCCCAGGTTGTGTGTCATTTGTTGACAGAGACTGCTCTTTCATTTCCCGGATGCCTGGACCCAAACAATCACACAGAAACGATAGTAATTACAATACTATTTGGCTGACGGCTCAGGCATATTTCTAGCTAGCTCTTACTTCTTAATTTAGCCCATTTCTATTAGCCTGTGTTTAGCCACGTGGCTTGGTGCCGTTCATCAGTTCAGCGTTCTCATGTTACTTCCTCTGTGTCTGGGTGGCAACTGACTCTCTGCCTTTCCTCTTCCCAGAATTCTCTTAGTTTGTCCCCCCCCCTTACATTTCCTGCCTAGTTACTGGCCAATCAGCATTTTATTAAACCAATATGAGTGACAAATCTTTCAAGAGCATTTACCACAGCAGGAGACTGTACTATTTATTAAATATAGTTCAGCTTGTCTTAGGCTTGTTCCTAACTAGTTCTTTTTTTGTTTGCTTGCTTGCTTGCTTTTGTTTTTTGAGACAGGGTTTCTCTGTCGCTTTGCACCCTGTCCTGGCCTCAAACTCACAGAAATTCACCTGCCTCTGCCTCCCAAGTGCTGGGATTAAAGGCCTGTGCCACCACCGCCCAGCTCTAACTAGTCCTTTTTTGAAATTATTTATTTTTATTTTATTTGCATTGATGTTTTGCCTACATGTATGTCTGTGTTAAGGTGTCAGATCTTGGAGTTAAAGACAGTTGGTAGCAGCCTTGTAGATGCTGGGAATTGTACCCAAGAATTGGAAAAGCAGTCGGTGCTTTTAACCACTGAGCCATCTCTCCAGCCCTTAACTAGTTCTTTTTTTTTTTTTTTTTTTCGAGACAGGGTTTCTCTGTGGTTTTGGAGCCTGTCCTGGAACTAGCTCTTGTAGACCAGGCTGGTCTCGAACTCACAGAGATCCGCCTGCTCTTTTTTTTTTTAAACATTTTTATGGTTTATTTAACTTTATTTTATGTGCATTGGTGTGAAGTGTCAGATCCCCTGGAACTGATCTTCAGACAGTTGTGAGCTGCCATGTGGGTGCTGGGAATTGAACCCGGGTCCTCTGGAAGAGCAGTCTGTGCTCTTAACCACTGAGCCATCTCTCCAGCCCCCCCCTTAACTAGTTCTTACGACTTAAATTAAGCCATGTTTTTTAATCTGTGTTCTTCCACATGGCTCATCACCTCATCTCCATACTGCCCATCCTGCGTCCTCCATGTCTGGCTGACAACCTGCCTTTCTTCCTTCCAGAGTTCTCTCTCTGCCCAGAAGTCCCGCCTATACTCCTGCCTCGCTGTCAGCCATTCAGCTGTTTAGTACACCGGCCACAGCACTACGTCTTCACACGGGGTACAAATACCCCACGACAGAAATCATTCAAAGCAGTTGTGACGTCTCTGTTCCTTGCTGACTGCAGTGAAGCTGTCTGGAGGTGCTGGCTTTGGAAGAGAATGGATTAAAACGGCAGATATGATAATTGGTGGATTTCAGGGGGAGAAACCACACAAGCAAACACGGGGTAGGGGGGACGCCCATGAGGACTGGCTGGTAACCTAAGCAGGTTGTAGAGCATGATGTGAGAGGAGATGATTTGGGGGGTGGTGCCGAGTGGCTTGGGGTCACAATGAGTTCACGTAAGCTGGCAGTTCCCTTTCTGGTTCTTCTTAAGAGAATTTCTGGTGCTAGTTGCTCATTCCACATTTGCTTACCTTTTATTTTTTGGTATGCCACGTGCAAGCAGAGTGTGTGTGTGTGTGTGTGTGTGTGAGAGAGAGAGAGAGAGAGAGAGAGAGAGAGAGAGAGAGAGAGAAGTTCAGAGGACAACTTCAGCTGTCTTTTCTCAGCTACTGTCTACCTTTCTCACCAAATAGGCTTGCTGGCCAGTGAGCCCCAGGCACCCCCCATCTCTGCCTTTCGGGACTGAGATTACCAGTATAGACCACCATGTCAGGTTCTTGTTCCATAGGTTCTGAGCACTGAATTCATATTCTGTGCTTACTAACAAGAGTCATCATCTCTCCTCCTCCTTTATTTATTTATTTATTTATTTTTGTAACAGGGTCTCATGTAGCCCAGACTACCTTCAAACTTACTAAGTAGCTGATGACCTTGAACTTCTAATTCTCCTGCCTCTACCTCCCGAGTGCTGAGATCACAGACCTGGACCTCCACACCTAGATTATACAGGGCTGGGGCTCAAACACAGGGCTTCATGTATGTTTGACAAGCACTCTACCAACCAAGCGAATTCCCAGGCTCCATTGACAACTTTTAAACTTTTCTGAGGATTGAACCCAAGACCTTACACATCGTAGGCAAATACTCTACCACTGAGCTACATCCCCTGATGCGGGAGATGTTGTCATAAAGCAGCTTTGGCTTTCTTGGCTCTCTTATTTCCTCTCACACAAACTGATACCTCTCTGTGTGTGTTTGTCTCTGTCTGTCTCTCTGTTTCTGTCTTTTGTCTGTCTTTCTCTTACACAGACACACACACACAACACAAACACACACACAAAATGTGATGCTACCCTCTTTGAGTTCTTTGAAGAACTCACAAAAAGCCGCCGCACGCTTGTGTTCTTGGACCTCCATCCAGCACTGTGAACTAAACAAAGCTCTTTTCTTTAGAAGTTCCCAGGCTTGGGTATTTTGTTATAGCGATGACAACAAAACAGACACTGGGTGAAGATCACATCAGCAGAGGCTAGGCCATTTCAGTCGCATTCAGTGGGGGTGTTGGTGGTGTAGTTAGAGACGATGGAGAAAGTAGGGTCATTCCTTCTTTTCCTGTGCCACCTCCTGGAGAAGTTCCGGTGTCTGCTGTGCCACCGGCAGTGATTCAGTTTATTCCATATGATGAACATCTGATTTTCCAAGGCCTTTAGCTTCATCTCGCTGAACAACAGCCGTTCCAGGACCTTATCCTGGAGAGCGAAGCAAGCATTCATTTTCTCCAACTCTCTCTGTGTGGCATAATTGGGGTTGACTTCTGGAGCCGTCGCTTTTTCTGCCAGCTCCTAGGAGTCCCATCAGAAGAAAAGAGTCAATTCATATGATAACTCCTTCCAACACAGAACAGCGGCTCCAGCCCCAGTTATTTTTCATCTTTGGGACAGGGTCTCATTTAGCCCAGGATGGCCAGGAACTCACTACGTAGCCCAGGGTGACTTTGAACTCCTGATCCTCCTGCGTCTACCTTTCTAATGCTAGGGTTACAAGTGTACGTCTGTTTGTGCAGTGTTGGGAATCGAACCTCCAGGGCTTCATGCAGTGTTGGGAATCAAACCCCTAGGGCTTCATGCATGCTAGACTCTACCAACTGAGCCACAGTTCCAGCCTTCCAGGCCATTTAATCAATTCTCAGGCCCTCTGTCAAGGAGAGAGCAACTTTGCCGTAATTCGTGGTTGGGAGAATTGGGATCTAGTGAGGGAAAGTCACTTTCTCGTCACCCTACAGCCAATACTTTCTTCTCCAAACATCTAAAACCTATGGGTGTCTTTGTCTCATAGGGATGATTTGCCAGTTGTAGAAGACATAAAGTCCTGTGGGTCGACGAGATGGCTCACTAGGTAAAGGTTCTTGCCACAAAGTCGGACATGACTCTGATCCCCAGGACCCACACACTGGAAGGAGAGAACTTGAGTCCTGCAAGTTGTCACCCTGACATGGACTGTGGCACAAGATTACCTGCACACATTAGAGAAAAATTAAGGCCCTTTGCATAAATATGCATGTCTTCCTCCAAAATCTTCGTTTTCTAATTTCTTTCTGAGCATTTTGTCAGAATCAGTAAGACCTCAAACTGCGGCATCTCTGAGTCTCTGGACATGCTAAGCCCTCACAAGTCCTCATGAGCCCGCCCCCCAGTTTATAGTAACGCTTCCTCTCTTTGGATAAAGCTTCAAACTACTGGTCTTTAAAAATTGCACACATTTGCCAGGTGGTGGCAGTGCACTCCTTTAATCCCAGCACTCGGGAGGCAGAGGCAGGCAGATCTCTGTGAGTTCGAGGCCACCCTGATCTACAGAGCTAGTTCCAGGACAGCGAGGGCTGTTATACAGAGAAACCCTGTCTCAAAAAATAAAAATAAATAAAACCAGAAAAGAAATACTTTAAAACTAACTATTGCAGGATGGAATCTAACTATTTCAGGATGGAATCTAACCAACTCAATTGGTGGACTGTTTGCTTGGCATACCTAGAGTACTGGGTTTGAGCCCTAGCAGTATATAATCTAGTTGTGGCGGCACACACCTATAATTCCAGCTCCTCAGGAGATGGAAGCAGGAGGATCAGGGGTTCGAAGTCATCCTTGACTATACAGTGAGCTGCAGGTCAGCCGGGTCACATAGAACCCTGCCTCAGTAGGCAAAGTAAAATGATGTGAGGAGCCATAGTAAACAGCATCCAAATTCCCAGCTTTCTCATAGCTACCTAAATCAAGAGCTGGGCCTGCAGCTCAGTGGGAGAGCAGGGAGGGAGGGAGAAGAGGAGGGCAGGAAGAGGAAGGAAATTTCACAAGTATAATTGAAATTTCTGTGAACTTCTCCCCTGGGGTTCCCTTCCCCCAAATGTCCCTTAATCGGTTATAGCCCTGAATTTGGTACTTAGTGTTTGAATGCACATTTCCCTTTGCAAATGTTGACGTGGATGGTGTGCATGTGTATTTGCATGCTAGAATGTGTATGAGCGTGTGTGTCCTGTGTGAAGAGGCCCCAGGCTGATGATGAATGCCTTTCTCAATGGTTCTCCACCCTATATAATGAGGAAGGGTTCTCCCTGCATCCACAGCTCAGTGTTTGGGCTAGCCAGCCTATTCTGGGGATCCTCTGTCTCCACTTGCCACCGTCTAGGACTGCAGGTGGGCCACCACACCTACTTGTTTTTACGTGGGTACTGGGCATCCAATTCCAGTCCTCATATTTGCTCAGCAAGTACTTTGCCTCGTGGGGCATATCCCTAACCCTGATGCTTTTTAAAAAATTATTTTATTTTTAGATGAATTTACTTTGTGTTTGTGAGTGTTTTGCCTTCATGTATGTATGGAGATGGGGAGGGGACACTGGATCCCCTGGATCTGGAATTATGGATGGCTGAGCCACCATATAGGTGCCTGTGGAAGTCAGAAGAGGGCATTAGATCCCTGGAACTGGAGCAACTGCGAGCCACCATGTAGATGCTAGGACCTGAATTCAGGTCCACTGCAAGAGCAGCTGGTGCTCTTAATCACTGAGCTATTATTCCAGCCCCAAATTATTATTATTATTATTATTTTTGGTTTTTCGAGACAGGGTTTCTCTGTGGTTTTGGAGCCTGTCCTGGAACTATCTCTTGTAGACCAGGCTGGTCTCAAACTCACAGAGATCTGCCTGCCTCTGCCTCCCGAGTGCTGGGATTAAAGGCATGCGCCACCACCGCCCGGCTTGTTTTGAAAATTTTTTAATAACTTTATTCTATGTACATTGGTGTGAGGGTGTCAGATCCCCAGAAACTAGGGTTACAGACAGTTGTGGGCTGCCGTGTGGGTACTGGAAATTGAACCCAGGCCCTCTAGAAGAACAGTCAGTGCTCTTAAGTGCTAAGCCATCTCTCTAGCCTCCAGCTGTTGCTTGATCTTTGGGGAAACAAGCTCCTTTGACTGCATAGTGAAGGCTTACCCATTGCAGGACCTCTGTGCAGAGGTGATATATTTTGTGCTTTAACAAATAAAGCTTGCCTAAAGATCAGAGTATAGGAGAGTCTGGTATGGCCCCTATTTCACAGCTGAAGCAAATCCCTTACTGAAAAGATTTGTCCTCCGCCATCCAAGATGAAGCCACGAGCACAGTCTTAGCCCGGGGTCTTATAATTCTTCAGCCTGATCCCATTATCCTGAGGCCCCACTAACCTTCGCTGAGCCGTGCCCCCCAACTCTCCCCTCCCCGCCCCCAGTCCAGCTCTGAGTGTCTTGTAACCCACAGTTGAAGCTAAGCACCCTCTTGCTCACCATCTGGACCCTCTGGCACACCGTCTGGGGCTGGCAGGGAGCCTGATTGAGTTCATGCTTGACTAGCCAGTTGCTGAGCAATAGCAGAAGGAAGAGGAAGCCAAACAAGGCTGGCTTAAAGCTTATCAACCAAGCCAAGATGGCTCCTGTGGTGCCAGAAGAAGCAAGAAACCCATGGAAACTCCTCAGAAAAAATATCAGGTCCCCCAGCATTATGGCACAGGGGGGCCCAGGCCCCTGCTGCAGTCCCCTCCATGACAGGAGGCAGGGCCACTGGCTCCTCTGATTCATAACCAGTTCCCCACCCCCACCCTGGTTGTCGCATAACAATAAGTACCCCTATGTCTTGGGGGCCCCCTGCTGTCAGGCTCTTCGGCAGGCAGCTTGCGGGTGTCCTCTCAGGACTTGTGGCAGCCCAGTGATGTAGATCTCAGCAGGTCCCTTCTCACTGAAGATTTCTGAGTGCCCCCTGGAACAAACCGGCCAATGCCACCAGATCACTTGCTCTCATAATGGGGGGGGGGGGGGGGTGACAAAGGAAACTTAGCCATACCGCGGAAATAAGGCAAGCAGACTGCTGTGTGCATGCTCATAGCCACCCTGGAATACTGTCAATAAGTCCATGGAGGCCGTACGCTTGATTTGCTTTTAAAAGTCTACTTATTTATTGTTTGTGTATGTGTGACTGCTTGAGAACATTCCACTGCGTGGGTCTCCTGGATCCAACCCGGGTTGCCAGGCTTGTCAGCAAGTGCATTTACCCACTAAGTGGCACTTCCTGCTTACTTTTGTCTTTAGTTATTTTTGTGTGTGTGTGTGTGTGTGTGTGTGTGTGTGTGTAGGCTAGAGAACGACGTTGGCTATCGTTCCTCAGGAGTCTTCCACCTTAATTCTTTTCCACCTTATTTGGGACTCACCGATTCCCAGGGATTCTCCTGTCTCCGTCTCCGTCTCCCCGGTGCTGGGGCTGCAAGCATTCACTCACACCTGGCTTTTCACACGGGTGCTAGGAATCAAACTCACTCACGTCCTTGTGCTTGCACAGCAAGCACTTTACACATGCAACTGTCCCCCCAGCCCTTAATTAACGTCTTAATGTTGATTAGTGGCCTGACTTTGTAAAGTCGGATACTAGCTTGCTGACTGTGCTAGATAACTTTATGTCACCTTGACACACACACAGCTGAAGTCAAATAAGAACATGCCTCTTTAAGATTGAGACGTAGGCAAGCCTGGGGAGTTTTCTTAATGAGTGATTGATGGGGAAGGAACCAGCCATTGTGGGTGGAGCCACTCCTGAACCGGTGGTTCCGGGTTCTCTTAGAAGGCAGGATGAGCAATCCAGAGAGTGCAAGCCAGTGAACAGCTCCTATCCATGGCCCCTGCCCCCAGGTTCCTGCCCTGTCTGAGTTCCTGTCCTGACATCCTTCAGTGAAAAACAGTGATGAGGCAGTACAAGCCAAATAAACCCTTTCCTTCCCAAATTGCTTTTGATCATGGTGTTTCATCACAGCAATAATAACCCTAAGACACTGTAGTGAGCCGGACAGGATCGCCATTACAAGATGGCGCCGACATCCTGTCTTGTTGGTTATAAACAACTCCATATTTGGCTATGGCTTTGAGAGCTGTGTGTCCCCCGCTTCCTGCATGCGGTGGATGAGGATCCTTGAGCCTATCCCGATGTGGTCTGGTGTCAGCTGTTGGTGGCAGCCAATCACAGGGCGACCCGTGTGCCATTTCCCTATTTAAGCAGCTGCCTAAGAGCCTTTCATCCCTTCGCTTCATGCTGTCTCTCCCCTTAGCTCCCTGCCCCTTCGCTCCCTGCCCCTTCGCTTCCTACCCTTCCCTTCCTGCCCCTGGTTTCCTGCCCCCTCCTTTCATGCTCCCCATCAATCAAGGGTACTCCAGTAAAGCGTGATCTGAGTGGAATCCTGATGTGGTGGTTGTTCTTTCTCACCGGTCGAGAGGTCCGCCACAAGACACTAACTTTTTTGTTTTGTTTGATTTTTTTTTGAGAGACATCTTCCTGTGTAGCCAGGCTATTCTAGAATGTGTGGCCTTCATGCCTCAGGCTCCTGCATGCTGGGATTACAGGCACGAGCCACCATGCCTGGCAGATGTTAACTTTTTAAATGTATGTGTATATCAGTGAGGTGACCCAGTAGGTAAACATGACAAACTGCGTTTAACCACTGGGACCCACATTGTGGAAGGGGAGAACTGACTCCTCTGCAAGTTGCCTATGACTTCCAAACCAATGCTACAGCAGGCAGACACACACACCCACACCACAAATCTTTATATATATATATATATATATATATATATATATATTTAAGACAGGGTTTCTCTGTGTAACAGCCCTAGCTGTCCTGAAACTCACTTTGTAAAACAGGCTGGCCTTGAACTCACGGAGATCTGCCTGCCTCTGCCTCCTGAGTGCTGGGATTGAGTCACTACACCCAGTTTTAAAAGCTTTTAAAAATAAGGGAAAGGGCTGGGCAGTGGTGACTCGAGCCTCTGAACCCAGCAGGCAGATCTCTGTGGAGTTCAAGGCCAAGCTGGTCTAAGGAGTGAGCTCCAGGACTGGTTCCAAAGCTAGAGAGAAACCCAGTCTCTAAAAAACAAACAAATAAACAAAAAACCCCAAAAAACAAAAAAGGAAAAGGAATAAAAGCCAAAAGTTTGAAGCAATCAACTCTGCATTGATAAATGAACGGGTAAATAAAATGTGGGGAGCTGGAGATGCAGTTCAGCGCTGAGTGCTTGCACACAGTGATGGTTAGTTAGCCTTAGTGGCAGAACCTAGACCCACCTTTGGTGGGCGTGTTCTTACTATGTTAATTGAAGCAGGAAGGCTGGCCTGTAGGAGATGGAGAAAGGGAGCTGAACTGCCCATACATTCATCCCTCTCTGCTTCCTGACTGTAGACCTGATGTGGCCAGCTTGCTCCTGTTGCCGTGGTTCCCCTGCCTGACCGTGTATCTTGAAAGATGAGCTAGTTCAGATTCATAGGGGCAGAGGCTGCAGGCCACTGGAGAGAAGGGAGAGGAATGTGCTTATGTTTTTGGTCATTATGCTCTCTGTGATGGGAGGGCAGGGCTTAGCTGGCCCCCGGCAGCCTTTCCCACAGCCCACATTCTCGACCCTTCCCTAAACTGCTCTCATCTCCATTCCTTCAGTGTAATTCTATCAGAGGCACAACATTGTTGATTTTGGACAAGATTCACACACAAGACATACGTTGTATTGTGATTAAATTTTTCTTGCATTTTTTCCTTTAAGGCCTTTTTGTGTAGTTCAATGATTTCTGATGGATCCTTACACCCCTGTAAACATCACCCTAACCCCAGGATGGGATTTCCCTCCAGTAAATTTCCCCATACTGTTTGGCAGTCAACTTCCCCACAGTGAAAGAAAGAAAGAAAGGAAGGAAGGAAGGAAGGAAGGAAGGAAGAAGCCACCAGGGCCCCAGATTTTAGGAGGCCCTGGGTCGCTAGCACAGCTGACTCCATGGTGAAAAGTACCATTCAGGCTGTAAAACTCAGCTCATAGACAGCACCATCTGCCAAAACAAAAGCCTAATCCATCCAAGTCCATAGCTCTGGAATAAGCACTAGCCTTGCCTTTTGGCTTTTGTGGTTCTGCTTCTGGCTAACTTTTCTTGTTAACTGAAGTGTGTCAACCCAGAACATGGTGTTTTGGGCTTAATAACTCACCCGGAGAAAGGCTGGGGGCTACACTGCAATCTGGAACACCCAGCCGTGGCCAGCCGGCTAATAAAGGTTTTCTATTAGCTTAAACTCCAGTTCGAGCAGTCTTCTTCCTTGGTGATTACCCCCACACCACCACCCACACTCAACTTCCCATACATCTCAACATTCCACGAATAAAACCCCCAGCACCACTTTAGGAAGAGGGGGTGACTTACGCAAAAAAGGTGTTCCATGCCCGGAGACAAGGACATGGAGGGGGCATGGTGGGGAGTGTGAATGTGGACGGTGTCCTGACCCAAGAAACAAAATGAACAAGGCTTGGCGGCAAGAGAGAGTCTCACTTTGACTCAAACCAGGATTTCCTCATTTCTTCAATTTTATTACCGTGGAAATTCGTGCACTCCTCATTTTCCCCCAGTCTAAGCTGGGTGGTTATGAAGTCCCCCAGCGCTCGGTATAACCCAGGGCCATATACAAACAAGGCAAGTGCTCTAAGGTTGAGTAACACAGCGTAGGATAATTAAGCGATCATTAATTAAGTCGTCCTTTTGGGCGTGTCCCCCCCCCCCCCCCGTCTCATTTAGGTGGTAAACTCTCCGAAAACCAGAACTCCATAATCCAACCCTTGCCCTGCAGTTAGACTAAATGGTATTAGCCGCCTCCCTACCGTAGGGGGCGCGCTACGTCGGCCTCACTCCGGCTCCGCTCTAGCCTCCAGGACGCCGCTCTATGGCCGCGAGGAGGCCGGGCTGGGGCACAGCTGAGGCTTTTTGTCCTGACGCGGCGGGAGCGCGCAGGGCGCGTGCGCACGCGGAGGTGTCTGGCTTCTCCCGGAGCGTGTGAGGTGCGGAGCTGCAAGGCTAGGCGGCTGCGGACCCACGGAGCGGCAGTCCGAGCGGCCCCTGCGGCCCGCGGCGGCCAGGCGGCCCGAGATGTTGTCGGGGAAGAAGGCGGCGGCGGCAGCAGCGGCAGCGGCGGCGGCGGCGGCGGCGGCGGCGGCTGGGACGGAGACCGGGCCCGGGGCGACGGGCGGCGCCGAGAACGGCTCTGAGGTGGCCGCGCCAACCGTGGGCCTTGCGGGCCCCACGGACGTCGCCACGGGGGCGGCGGGAGAGCGCACGCCTCGAAAGAAGGAGCCTCCGCGGGCCTCGCCGCCCGGGGGCCTGGCCGAGCCTCCCGGGTCCGCCGGGCCTCAGGCGGGGCCCACGGCCGGGCCCGGCTCCGCGACGCCCATGGAGACGGGGATAGCCGAGACCCCGGAGGGCCGACGGACCAGCCGGCGCAAGCGAGCGAAGGTGAGGCCGGGCCCAGCCGCCGGTCCCCGGGGCTGGGAGCCGAGGTGGCGGGGGAGGGGAGGCAGCCTTTGTGCGGGGACCCGGCTGTCGGGCACGGGAGGGTGTGACCGTGATCGTCTGACTGGGAAAGATGGCTTCCCGACGCGCTGGTCCACCTGTGTGTGTGGTCGGTGCGTACGGCCATCGGGCGGCTTCTGGTCTGGGTGCACGCGGGAGCTGGAGGTGATGCTCGAGAGTCAAGGGACACGGAAAGGAAGGGACTCTCTTTTTGTTTTGCTGTACGCCAGGTTCTTAATTTTTTTTTCTCCTCACACAGTGGTCTTTTGGCGTTGGCTTTTTTTTAAAAAAAAAAAAACATTTAATTATTGTCAGGGCTCGAGTGGAGCTCATAGGACCGCTCGCCTGAGTCCGTTTTTGTCCTTCCACCATGCTCAGGAATCGAACCGAGGTTCTCAGGCTCGGCGACACACGCTGTCTCGGGGCCTCGGGTAGACTTCTGCAGACGTGGAAGCGAATGAGGAATGCTCCTACCAGTTGTCACGGTGCAAATGCAAAGATAAAGATTTGGCATCAAATCCAACGCTATACACAGATAACCTCTGTCTCACACCTCTGCGCCAGATGGTGCAATTGACACGCGGCCAACGTTTTCGCGCGCGTGTGTGTGTGTGTTTTCCCCCAAACACCCCTGAACGGGTGTTGCGTTTTAAGAATGAGTAAACCGAGGTTTACAGGTGAAAAGTTTGGCGTTTTGACAAGGTGTCATTTGTGATTGAAACGAAGAACCACCTAGGGGCAGTTACATTGCCAAGCTTCGGTGTGGTTTTTTTTTACTACACAGACTTTGGCGTTTTCTGCAGAGTTCTTAATCCAATAGGGGAGACTAGGAGTACGTATGGGTATATAATGAGTATATGATGTGGTCTAGGGATGTATCTGGATGGCGTGTTTGAGGCCCTGGGTTTCTGTCCACAGCCCTGCAAAATAGATACGTGTTAAATAAAGTCGTAACCTCTCCTTATACGTTGTTTGCTCCTGCTGTACTAGGGAAGGGAATGCATGTGCTAGACAGGGTCTCTACCACTGCTCTATATCCCCTTTTTGTCTTGAAGCTAAGTTGCCCAAATTAGCCCTGAGTTTATTTTGTGGCCTCGACAGGGCTTGGATTTGTGATGTCTTGCATCAACCTCTCCCAAGTGACTGCCTGCATTTGTTTTTGTTTGGGTTTTTGTTTTGTTTTGTTTTTATCAATTCAGTTGAAGGTGTGACCAGAAACAGATTTGAGGTAATTTACGTGCCAATGTTGTTTTTTAAAATATGTATTCATGAGACAGAATCAGCATCACATTCAGTTTAGAACATTTTCTCTGATTTCTCTGTTTCCCAAGGACACCTGTTTGGAAGCTGTCTTTTCTCGCACCCTACCTCCAGCCCCTTGGCAGCCACTAGTCTATTTGCTGATTATATGGAGTTGCCTGTTCTGAACATACTGTATGGAGTCTCAGGATATGTGGCCCTTTATTTTTGCCATTAGTATGGGTTTGCCATCATTTATTCATTTGGACATTGCGGGGGGGGGGTGGTCGTCTTTTTTTTTTTTTGCTGTTCTGTATGATTTAGCTATGAATAGTATGTGTAGCATGTGAGCATACATTTTCAAGTCTCGTAACACCTGGATTATAATTGCTGGGTCAGGTGTGAATTCACTTTTGTGAGGAAATGCTACCAAATGGTTTTCTAAAGTCGTGTCTACAGTTTCACCTTTTATCAGCAATGTGTGTGGGGGCTGGAGAAATGGCTCAGTGGTTAAGAGCATTGCCTGCTCTTCCAAAGGTCCTGAGTTCAATTCCCGGCAACCACATGGTGGCTCACAACCATCTGGAATGAGGTCTGGTGCCCTCTTCTGGCCTGCAGACATACACACAGACAGAATATTGTATACATAATAAATAAATATTTTAAAAAAATAAAAAATAAAAAACCAAAACCCCATAAACACATGCATTCGAGCACTTGTGCATGCTTTTGTATACACGTCTGTGCATCGGGTGAATGTGTATGTATGTTTATGATTATGCAGAGGAAGAGGTTGACTGTGGCGGACCTCTTGACCGGCGACGAAGAATGACCACCACATCAGGATTCCACTCAGATCACGCTTTACTGGAGTACCCTTGATTGATGGGGAGCATGAAACGAGGGGGACAGAAAACAAGGGGCAGGAAGGGAAGGGCAGGGAGAGCATGAAGCGAAGGGAGGAAGGGCTCTTAGGCAGCTGCTTAAATAGGGAAATGGCACACGGGTTGCCCTGTGATTGGCTGCCACCAACAGCTGACACCAGACCGCATTGGGATAGGCTCAAGGATCCTCATCCACCGCGCAGCTCTCAAAGCCATAGCCAAATATGGAGTTGTTTATAACCAACAAGACAGGATGTCGGCGCCATCTTGTAATGGCGATCCTGTCCGGCTCACTACAGTTGACATCAGTTGTCCTCCTCAGTCATTTCTCTGAAATATTTTTAATCTAGGATCTTTCTCTTTCTTTGAGCCTGGAGCTCACTCATTTGACTAGATGACTGTGAACCCTCAAGATTGTCCTGTTTCTGATTTTTACTAAGCCATTGTCTTTGTAATTCTCTTGGACTTTTAATTCCTGTTTTTCCATCTCGATTAGCTTTTTTTTCTTTATGTGCATATATGTATCATGCTTGTGTGCTCATGTTTCTGTGCAGGAGGAGGCTGGGGTTGATATAGAATGTGTCCCCTTTATCTCTGTCCACTTTATTTACTGAGCCAGGGTTTCTGACTGAACCCCAAACTTTTGTGATATGGCTTTGTCTATATTACTCCAAGGATGCGCTGTATATCCTGATTACTGGAATTACATGTGGGCTACCTCTCCTGGCAATCTTTTATGTGAGTGCTGGGGTCTCTGGTCTTCATTTCTGTTTACTATTTGTGCTTTTATCCCAGGAGCCATCTTGCAGCCTTGTGTTCAGATCTTAAACTTTCAAAAGAAATATGAGATTTCTGTTTATTTTGGGGACAATTAGAAGCAAGAGATGACTCAGTGGTTAAGAGCACTGACTGTTCTTCCAGAGGACCTGGATTTGATTCCCAGAACCCGTGTGATGGCTTACAATTATCTGTAATTCCAGTTCCATGGGATCCAATGCTCTTTTCTGGTCTGTGTGGACACTGTATGCATGTGGTGCACAGAAACACTTGGATGTAAAACACCCACAGCAAAAAAAAAAAAATAATAATAAAGTACAAAAAAAGTAGCAATAACAAAGAGGTGAGAAATTTTATGCATTCACAGCCAGACTTGAGAACAAGTGTGAACCATAGCTTCAGTGGGTGAATATCCGTTTAAGGAGTAAAAGGCAAGCTGAGTGTGGCCCTGCTGGCCAGCATTGTGGGGGAAGTGGGAACAGGAGGCTCTCTGAGGTTTATTGACTGCTAGCCAAGCTGTTGGTTCAGTGAGAGACCCTGTCTCAAGGGAATAAAGCAGAAAGTAATAGAACAGGACACCCAGTTTTCTCCTTTGGCCTTAGAATATGCAGGAGTACATACACTTGTACATATACACCCCATAGGATTTTTTAAAAAGGAAGTTGAGGCTAGTGTAGACAGGCTTTGCTTTAAGAGTTTTGCGATATATATAGACAATATAGCAGTGTTTTGTTGCTTTGAGATTTGTCTAGTATGGGGGCGCCTCTTTTAAAATAGCATGTTTTTATATAATAAAAATTAGGTTGGAGTTTTGTAAAGGTGTTACTGAAGATAGGATCAATGCCCGGGCCTGACAGTAGATCTAACAAACTAGGCTTTGTAGCACGATTTCTAATTGTTCTTAATAATAAAAACTCAGATACTAGGGGTGAAAGCTGAGAGATCAGAGAAGCAGTGCAGTCAGCCACTAGAGAGACCTTTTACCTCTACCAATGCTCAGACGGAAGGAGCAATCCTGTCTTCAGATTGCCTCCTCAGCTGCACCTTAGACTTCAATTGTTTCCACCAAACCTCAGACTGCGTTGAACTCCTGTCTCCTCCTATCTTATATTTTTCTCTCTCTGCCCAGCCTCTACCTCCTGTCTCTACCTCCCTAGTGCTGGGATTAAAGGTGTGGGATCCCAAGTGTTGGGATCACCTTTGTGTTGTAATAAGAGCGCCGGGGCTGCGTCCCCGGCACCCAGCTGCCTGCACGGTTAGCTTTATACCTGAAATAATTACACGGAAACTATTCTCTTAAATACTGCTTGTCCCATTAGTTCTAGCCTCTTATTGGCTAACTCTTACATACTGATCTAACCCATTTCTAATATTCTGTGTAGCCCCACAAGGTGTGGCTTACCAGGAAAGATCTTAACCTGCGGCAGTGTCAGGTGGGAGAGTCATGGCGACTGACTGACTCG